TCAACGATCAACTAACCTCCCACGAAGGCAGGATTCAAGATACTCAAGATATGTTCATTCATCTCCGACCGAGAATATCATCGCTGCTTGAAATTTGCTATCATCACTTGAATGATGACCAAACTTCCTCATCTAGTATCGCTGGACTTAAATGAGTCTTATCATCTGAATGGTTCGCTATTGACATTGCTGTGTGCATTGGTTTTCTTTCCACATGGGAAGAGTGCTTATAAAATGGCCGAAAACAATTGTTATACCCAAAATCATCAAAGAGAGTCTTTGAAGAGTTGGAGAAGACTGCAAAGGAATCGAAAATGAAAGAACGTTGTGATTCTCGGAGAACAATGAAATAAAATTTCTCTTTTATCCTCAATCGCATCTACATTCTTAGTCTCGTATGCGCTTATTCGAGGAATGCTAACACTACTGCTCCATGTCTAACACTCTCTGCTTTGAATTAATAATTTATCAAGATTTTAGCGTAGTGGAAAGTTGCCCTTGAAATCTACATTTTGCTGTCGACATTATGGCAGGAGAGTTCCCAGACAATTCACACCAAGGTGTGGTGGAGGGTGGAGTATCGAAGCCATGGGATCCTACAAGTCTAGCGGTTGGAGGAGCGATGTGTAAGTATCATTCTTGACTGCAGTCTTGCTTGTCTAAACTGACGAATCCAGTGGCATCTCGAGCACCAGCTCCAAGTTTAACTGGTCCTGTCCATCCATTGTTTGCACGCAATAGATGGGAAGTCTCTGACGAGGACTATCAGCTCTTAATACCAAGTATGCGACTTGCCACACGGCTTTTAGAAGTTGGAATGCCGTATTTAGCAAGTTTTTTGCCATCAAGCATCATCTTTGGCTCGCCGCAAGAAGTATCGCACGCTGAACATAGCCATCTTGTCTGTCCACGAGTAATTCCGTTGAAAAACACAGTTTTGATCAAGGATCTTCAAGCAGCAGAGTTGGAGCTTGAAGCCATCGCAAGATGTATCAAATGGAGATTGAATGATAGAATGCATGCGACTCGGAATTGGAATGGTATCACAAGAATAGTAGATTATGGAGAAGCAGACTTCCACGAACTCGATGAGAATGAGATCAGGGAATCGGATTTACAAGCTGCTCAAGCAGGCCAGGTACGACGGCCACTCGTTGTTGCAATTATGGATTTACTATTAGTACCAATGCGTACCCACCCAGTTGATTCCGAAATTCGCCTTAAAGCACAGTTTATGGCGGCAGTTACAATGACTCATGAAATTGGACATGCAATATTCCTCCAAGATTACCGGTCGTTCAACCCACCTTCTGGTGACGAGCCTTACGTTGAGAAAGACGTCGATAGCGAGCTAGGAAGGTCTTTCGTCAGTTGGATTTTTAATGGTTTCCATCCTCAATTCTGCGAATCCTATGATCAAGATGCCAAATTTGGTAGTCTGGGGTGGTCGTTATATTGGCAACCTTTATTTAAAACCAATCAGTTATTTGGCAATGACAAAGAACACAAGCGGCCATTATACGAAAAACTTTATGCAATTCCTATCAGTTATCTCTCAAATACATTTCGGCAGACTTGGTGGGAGGCTAATCAACGCGGTATCCCTCTACATCAACTTGCTGCGACCTTGAAAAAGAGCTTAAACTTGGATTACAGTGACAAATCGGGGGCTGCTATCTCCGTGAAGGCAAATTGGTGGATGGATCCAATTGCAAAACTTCCTAGATGGAAAGGCCACTATAGAATTACAAAGTTCTCTTCGGGCCAGCCTGTCCAAGGACTCGTAAAAGACCAAATCGTCGCGCAAATGAAATTAGAAAAGCAGTCATTTACGTTCACTCTACACGATGAAATAGATAAAAATTACGATGCTGAGCTTGAACGATTGCTAAGAGAACAAACGCCCTGTTCATGGGAAGATAAGGTCATTGCAGGGAATGATAATAGAACGGTAATTGCTTATAGTATCGAGACGCACGACGATGGAATGCTTGATGAGGATATAGGTTATATCCAAGATGATAATTCCGAAGTCGTGACGCAAATCGAAATTCGCTATCGTCCGACAACAGATTTTCAGCCTAGGTCGACAAAACTGATTCCACCAAACAAACTAGTAGAAGAGGCTCGGAAAGAGGTTTGGGCCGAAATAGCTGCCGAAGAAAAAGCAGCAGCCTCTGAGATGTTCGCATCAGGTCCAAAGGTCAAAAAGCGCGGAAGCTCAAACAGTTCTCTCTCAGGACCAAGCAAACGCTTGAGAACATTTGTCGAAGCCGACAAGGTGGATGAGAATTCTACACTTGCAGAAAAAGTTTTGAAAGCACTCAGCCAAGCATCGGCAAATGAGATTGGCCATTGGACAAGAATTCAAGCATGGTACTATTGCTTGCAACATGGTCTTTCGTTGCTCCAGCTACCTAAAACTGCCGCAGCACAACAAGCAAAACTCGACAACGGTACGGAAATAGGGAATAAAATTATGCGAAAAATACAGTACCATCTCCTGGAGAAACTTTGGGGAGAGATTCATGACAATGGTTTAAACCCAGAATCAGTTCTTGTAGCCCAGTACATCCTTGCCCTAATAGATTTCTTTGTGGATGATGATATTGACAGTTTGGCTGTAAGAATGAAACTGCCCGTTCCAAATACTGCTAGTCAGAGGGAGAAGGTCAGAGCTGAGTGTAAACGTTACTTCGAAAGAGTAATCAAGGGCGAGGAATTGAGAGAGCCCTCACCTCGATTCGGTCTCACTTTAGAGCAGCAACTAGCGCCTCTACACAAGTTGGCTCCAGAACCATCCCAATGGTCAGAAGATGATTTAAGATCTTGGTGTCGCCACAAATCAATTCCACAGTGGGGATCCATCTCTGGCCTAATCACCCGCGTCAATCGTTTCAGAGAGGAAGAAAAGAATGTCAAAGTGGGTATAGCCGGACGAATTAAACCTCCTCCTGGTAGGACTGATCGTACCGGCACAGAAATTTATCGTTTTAGCGCGGTCCTCCGACACAGTTCTCTTGATGCTCTCAAAAGCTCTCTTTTCATTGCTGGCAATTTTCCTTCAGACACCGAACTCGATCTCTGGGTTAATTCAGACCATATCCTTCAACCCGGTCCCTTAAGTGAGCAGATCTCCACCGTAGATTGGAAGCGTCTTGTTCTACGTGCATGGCGTACAGCAACTCCTAAAGAACCAATAAAAATCAGCCGAGAAGATCGCATTGAGAAGATAAACAGACATAACGAACTCATCGACAGTAAACTTCGAAGCGAACAGCGAAAGTCTACAAGAGAAGTGACAAATGAAGAAATAGTAATAGAATATCCACATCCTGGATCCGTTCTTAACAAAGTCACGGATATTTCTCAACGCGCACTCGCCTTAACTCGTATCCGTAATGCGCCGGGTACAACACCAGGACAGAGTTATAAGAAACATGATCGTGCTCATTTAATCAAGGGGAGACACTTGAATGATATGATTATGGACTTGGAAGATTTGGAGACGAAGGTGAAGGAGGGTAAGGAGAAGAAAACAGGAATTGGTGATATGGAACAGAGGGAATCGAGGCATTGGAAGGAGCTGAGTGAAAGGGAGGCTAGGAGAATCACGAATATGAAGTTGGTGGAGAACAGATTCACGAAGCAATGGGGGGCAGGTGAGAGATTGGGGGTGGGCGAGGAAGAGGTGCCCGAGGAAGTCAGGGGGAAGAAGGGGAACAAGGGGAAGGAAGTGGAGGAGGATGATTGGCATGAGGATTATGTGTAAGAGAGTTTGCGGATATGCTGTTTGCCTATTCATGTTGTTGCTTATTGTGTTTCTGTAATTCTTGTTTTTTTCATGATTTATCAAACGGGATAGGGTTAACATACATAGTATGAAGATATTTCGTTGCCCATTTGCATCTATATATTCGCCAAGCTTTTAGAAAAGTCGTTTGGTAAACATTTCAAATGTGAGTGAATATTTCGTACTAATTATCATCATATTATTATCCCATCACCGACCCCTCTTCGTGACTTCCAGTAGTATAGTATTCCTTCAACTAATGCTATTTTATACTCTTCCTCTTCCCTCCCTCCACTCCCAAAATCAAACATTCCATCTCTACCTATCTCTCTCTCTCTCTCTCTCTCTCTCTCTCTCTCTCTCTCTCTCTCTCTCTATACACCAATCAAAGTCCATATTCACTCAACACTCATACTCTCTCTCCATCAAAACGGAAGAGAGAAAGGAGAAAAGCTCATCGACTTGATATCCCCCCCCTCCCCCAACAAAATAAATAAATAAAAAGCAAGCAAAAGAGAGACAAAAGAGAGACAAAAAGGGTTCCGTCCGGCATCGAACCGAAGACCTCTTACAATTATGGACCATAACCCAAAGCAATAATTCTACCACTGAACTAGAGAACCCTTGTTTCTTGCTGTTGTATATGGTGTGTGTTACTTGGACTATACTATCTCATTCTCATTCGATATTATTTAGTTTGTGATTAGTGGTTTGTAGGAGCGAAGAGGAGAGAGAGGCTCTTTGTTGGGGAAGAGCAGGGGAGCTGTGGTTTCTTTGAGAATGATGGATTGATTAGAGCTGAGACAAGATGGGGGAGTTCTCTGTTATATGTTGGGGAATGGGTATTGAAAAGGATGATTGATGTATGGAGAAGGCCTCCTTGTAGAAGTGATATTTAGATGGGGGTTGGAGGTTCAACATGCTCTGTGTATTTATATTGGAGGTAAGATGCTACTCACAATTGACTAGTAGACGATATTTTTTGATTTTTTTTGAAGTATTCTACAGAGCTCTCAGAGAAGTTGTGTTTACCTGGTATGCAATTCTCTCGCATCCTTGGATTCGGCGCACTGGGCTGAAAATTGTAAATATGCTCGGTATATCTACACCGGTATATACGTGTAATTCTTCGCTTGAATTACTGAAACTTGTGAGCCTCTACGATGATCTTTGACTGTCATAAATTAAATTGTATCTAAATTTAGGATCAAGTGAGACCATCTAGATTCATCCAAGGTCCTCTACTCCAATCTAACTCATTCAACCAGTCTAGATTTCCGAATGCTCCCACATCATCACCCATTGCATCTATATCATCTACTCCCATCATACCCACATCCACATTCCCATTTCCATTTTCGCCTCCCAACACATCATTCCTATCTTCAACCAACCCAATCCCACTCTTCTCCCCCTCTTGCCCCTGTCCCTGCGAGTTCATACGACCACCAACTCGATGATTCAGAATCTGATCCAAAATCCTCTTCACCAATTTACTCATACGTCCACACAAAAGATAATTCCCCGCACTCGGTTTAATCCACTCAAAAAACCCCACCAACAAACTTAAATTCTGCACAATTTCCGACGTCGGGAGTTTAATCGTCGAGTCATGCGGTGATTTCATCTGTTTAAGGATTTCTACACACAAGACTCCGCTGGATGGAACACCCCAACACATGAGCATCCAATCGTAATCATGATGGTGTTCGACGAAGCGATCGCGTTGGACCCAGAAGAGAACGGTCAGTTGGAGCATTTCGAGAGCGCAGGATATCATGGATTGACCGGAGAGAAGGAGAGATTTGTGAGCGAGTCGTTCGAGCGTGAGTCGTTGTTCGAGATATGAGAGACGTAGACCGATGCGACGCCACAGTACACTATCGGATATCGAAGGAGAGAATACGTCGTTAGGACGGTAATGGGTGTAGCAAGGAAATCCATCGTAGGTTTCTTGTAGACGAGCTAGAAGATCGGTAATGCGGGCATCGCTGATATTACCGGTGAGAGATAGTTCGAGAATTTCATCGGTGATTATGGTGAGATAGCCGTGAGCGCGAATGTACGTTGCATTTGTCATTCTGCCTTCTTGATTCCAGCCATTGGCGTCTAATTTATCCGCGGCGTTTCTTAGAGCTTCGGGTCCTTGGGCAAATACTTCATCGTCGATGTCAAGAGGGAAGCGGAACCGTGTATAGCGGTAACTTAATGCTGGTGGACGACCTGTAAGGTGAGCAGAGCTTTTATCGACATTGAATATTATGGTAAATAAACGTCTTTTACACTCGGATAAGAATGTAACGGGTCCATCATTGTCCGGTTGGCGATGAAGACCAAGTGCTGTTGACATGCTAACCAAATCTCCTATCTGTCTCCAAACAATCAAACTCGCGTCGCCCATAATTACAGTAGCAATAATAAGATTTTGAGTCAAAAGTCCTACCATGACGGTATTAATGTAGTCCATATAGTTAGACAATGTAACACAAGCCTGGATGCAATCTTTTAACTCTAGAGCGAAATGCTTCCGGTCTTTCCTTTGCCCAGGCTGAGTTGTGAAAAAAGCATCTCTTTCAGATAGCGACAAAATGGATTGACATAGAGCCGCAAATATGAGTCCCACGGACTCCCATCTCATATTAGGTCCAGTAATACTGTCTAACCAAGGCTGATAATCTTCCGCCTCCTGTAAATGATGCTCGGAGTTCCTGCATAGATGCGTGGATATACGTTCCATATCATCAAGACGTCTTGGCTCTTTAAACTCCTTTCCCCACTGAGACCACAATGAATGTGCTATTTGTGCTGAAATAACTCTCGGGGTATAAGGACTACACTCGCCCATCCTTTCCAAAAACCATTTTAGCAAATGGTCACATGTTCGTTTGTCGGGCAGTTTTTGCAATATCTTGATTCCGAGCTGGATTCGTGGGGATCCTCCAAATGCATTTCCGGGTAGCATCAGGAAGTTATGAGTCTGGAGACTATCATAAGATGGAAGTGCACCAGAGTCATTGGAGATTTGTATATCGTTACCGATATTATCCCGATTTTCCTCGAATACAGCGGAGAAGTTTGTTGGGCCAAAGAAACCCCCGATTGTATTCTCCCTGGTTCCGTAGGCCTACTATCGGGAGAAAGCAGATGGTCATGTGTAGATATAATAGAAGCAGTGGGAGTGGGAGTGGGAGTGGGAGTGGGGGTTGACAGAATACCGGCAGTTTGTTCGTGCTCCCTACTTGCATTGGATTCCCCTGTATGTGGTCGACGGGTCATAGGCGCTGAGAGGTATACACATTTTGCCGATGCTTTCCGTCGCTTACATCGATCACATACGGGAAGACTATGATCACAAGAAATTTTTGCTTTTCTGCATGGCTCACACGCGGGCTGTTTGCCATTTCGTCTCCGTGGGACAACTCCGTGTCCGTTCTCTCTGCGGACCGACATATATATTGAGTATATAGAAGTTCTAAACAATTATCGCATTACAATGATAGCTAGTTAAAACTCGCATGTAGGACCAAAAAGATGATAAGAAAAATTGAAAAGATGTGTCGAGAAAACATAAGTTGATAGAGGAATAGCAATACCGTTCGTGACGGAGTTCAACGTCGGCACTCGGAGTAAGCTAGATTTTAAATTAATCCCGGCTCAACAATCTAATCATGAGAAAGCCAGCAACATGAATATCAGTTCCAAGCTCCTGAGAGATTATCTGTATCGACTATGTCTACACCGTCTCTAATTACTTCATCGATACCGAAGATAGTTCTTCGATATTCTGGTAGCGACACGTCATTATTAGGTGAATGAAACCACTTTCTAGCATTTTGAGTAGGAGGAACGAGTGTTGTTGACGCCGTCGAGGTACGTTTTCCTTTGTAGGTCTCTTGTTTTATATGGCTTGTAACTGGGATGTTATCTTGCCATTGTCCAAATGAGATAAGTACAAGTAAGTATACCATGAAACCATCACAAGAGCCTCTTACCGTGATATACTTTTCGGCTTGCTTCACAAGAAGTTCCAGATGTACCGTTCTTATATATCAGCAACACAGTTTAACGAGTGCCGTGGATGATGTATTTACTTTTTGCTCATACTGGTGGATTCTTGGACGTAATCATCAGACAGGAACTGCTCCGCAAATGTCTCAAGGGTGATAGTATGGCCACAATCAATGTGCCATATGCCAACTTCACCAGTTTTATTCGTCGTAACAAACTACCATTGTCAACACATCCAAGTGGACTCAATGGGTCTCACTGTTGAACTCCCGTCTGGAATAGAGTAGAGTACATCGTCTAGGATTTTGACAGCCAGTCATATATTTCTTGACTCTCACCACAAATCTTGACTAGGTTTAAATTACGGGCGGCAAGCAGAAATCTCACCATTTTGAAAGCTGATCGCATTGTTGATGGCGAAGGCCACATAGATTGCCCGTCATTCTATAGCTCAAATGTATAGAGAGCATGAGAGCCAGAGCCACTTATTTGGAATATATTACGTGACCTCACTCATAGAAACTGACATCCCAAATCCCCATTGGAAGCATTTTCTCCCATCCACAATGTTGTCAATTTAACCTCGGGATTTGTGGGTACACAAGAAGAGTTATCGACTTTTCTAGACAGTCTTGGAAATTTTCACAACTTATTTGAAGGCGATCAATGTTCCACCAGGCTGAAAGCAAAGTTGCGATTGGCTCCCTTGAATCCAAGCCCTTTTCTTCAGACTCTTCATCTGAAATCCCAAACCTCCTAGCAGACAACAACCGACATTGAAACGCACGGCATTCATATCTCCATTTGTTTCACAGCATTCTCAGTCACGTGTTCTTATTGAAGAAAGGATTTCCTTGTAAATTAAATATATGCCATGGCTCGTGCGACAATAATACCTAGGGATTTCCTAATCGGGTTTTGATCGCGAGAGAACATTTTGGTGGAAGTGCTTCTCTGGTCTTAAATTCTTCAGTCTGATCATGCCCCAGAATACGGATGATCCACTACAAGTGCTTGAGTCCAGCCACTACACGGGATGGTTTCCATCGCTCGGCATATCGCACAGAATTAGGATTCGTGAAGATATCCCAAAAATGTAAATGTAACGAAGGTACCACAACGGTTCATTTTTCATAATGATCGACTTATAGGGCTGGGAAATCTTATATAATATCTATTTCCCATTGATTTCTTAGTATAGCATTCTTGTATACATTCGTTCAACTGTTGGTTAATTGATCTTCACTTCATTCATTTCAAAATACAAATACCAGTACCAGCTGCGCTGTTTACCATTCTTTCATTACCATTCATTATCAACGAAATCAAATCAAATCAAAATGTACTCCTCATCTATCCTCCTCTCCCTAGCCCTCACAACCCTAGCCTCCGCAACCATCATCTCCTCTCCCCACTACCCCCGCGCAAACACCAGCACCTCCAGCACCTCCTCCGCCTGCGTTCCCGCCGGCGCAATCCACATGATCGTTGCCCGCGCCTCCACCGAATCCCCCGGCGAGGGAATCATCGGTTCCGTAGCCACCATGGTCAAAGCCTCTCTCCCTGGCTCCGACTCCGAAGCCGTAGATTATCCAGCTACACTCACTCAATACCAAGCCTCCGAAGCGTCGGGCGTAGCCGCCATGCAGAAATTGGTACAGGCGTATGCGGAAAGGTGTCCCGGGAGTAAGATGGCGGTGATGGGGTATTCACAGGGTGCGCAGGTGGCGGCGGATGTTATGTGTGGGACTTCTGAAACGGGGTTTGCTGGGAACACTCAGGCGTTGTCGGCAAATATTAGTAGTAATGGTGAGTTTTATTTATCTCATTGACAATTCGGAACTTAGGAAGAGCGGACTTGACTAATGGAAAACTCAGTCGTGGCAATGGTTCTAATGGGCGATCCATCCCACGTCCCCGCCGAAACATTCAACGCCGGTACTGCCAAGAACAATGGGCTTTTTGCCCGTCAAAATATTGCCGCCTGTCCTACCGAAAAAACAGTCTCTTATTGTGACAACCAAGATGAGTAAGTCATTCCCTCTTCCCTAATATCCCCCAGCTCCTCTCCCCCACTCCCCAACTCAAATCAACCAATCTAACCCCCTCCCCCCAGATTCTGCGACTCCGGTAACTCCCTCCAAGTCCACCTCTCCTACGTCACCACCTACGGAACCGCCGCGGCGAAATTCATCACCGATAAAATGTCTGGTGAAACCCCCTCTTCCACTTCCACTTCCACAAACGGAACCGCAAATGCAAAAAGCGCACAGGATCTTACGCGCGCCGCGACTACTACTACTAGTACGAATGATGTTGCAAAGATGGGCGTATCTTGGGGTATGCTAGTTGTCTTTCTTGGGCTGGGAGTTTTGATTTAGGATCCGGGTTTGGGTTTGATTTTGTTTTGATTTCGGGTATTGATGTTTTGTGTTTCATTTCTTTTTCTTTTCAAGGATGTGTGTGATGGAAAACTAATAGGCATGGCATCGTTTATGGGACTTCGCGACAGAAAATAGGCGTAGGCTATGCTGGGCGTAGGGGGCGATAAAAGAAAAGGAAAGGGTTAATTGATATCCATTTCTTTCTATTTCATGATTTTCAAATTTCATTTCGAACATCTATCAGATGGTATTGGATACCAAAAGAGTAGTTGATCATATAAATACTTCAATTTATTTAGAACTAAATTTATTTTATACTACCAAATGAGTAGAATCGAGAAGATTTTGTTTTACAGTGTTATCTTCTTGTACGATATATGATACGTGAATCCGATACAACATACCAAACCCAACAATCCAAGCAAAACTTGGGAATTTCACTCAGCTAGCCAACTAGCAAACAACTCTGTTGTGTATCTACGAAATACTTCTGCATATCTCATCATCACATTACAACCTCATTTTCAACCAAGGGCATACAGATACCATTTGTTTAATTTCCCCTCTTCCCATACATACATGACCGCAAAACTCATCATACCCACCCCGGATAAAATAGATAGCTCAGAAAACTTCCTTCTCTCTGTGATTCAATATTGTGATGCGTGAAAACTGTCAATACAATATAAACTATCTAATGTGCCAATCACAACTCTAACGTCAAGATATACAGACACCCACCCACTGATCGCGAGAATACATTTACAGCGCTCAGTGGAAACCCACTCTAGCATCAAAAATATCTACTTTACGTTACGTTACGCTCATGCGCTCGTTACTCATTCGCTTAAAGCTCCCATTCCAAGACTTAATCTCTATTGGGTACCCCTAGGACTTCAATCGTATCTTTGTCTTTATTTCCGTCTCCATCTCCATCTCCGTCGCTACTTCTACGAATATCCGGGCTTGGTTTCGTGGAAGGTTTACTCCCGCTCCCACTCTCATTTCCCTCTCCGCTGCTACTCGTCGGTATGTGACTTCCTGTTTCTTTATCACCAGCATCATCAATAAAGACAACATGCCGGTTTACCCCTTCATCTCCATCATCCTTTACATCCTCATCCTTACTATCAACCGAGCCACCTTTCCAACTCGAACTATCTCCGCCCCCACTCCGCCCCGACCCCCTTTTCAATTCCGGACTGGGGGTTCTCGGTCCCGGATGTGCAGGATAATGCAAATTGTGCTTCGCCTTCCTATGAATATGTTTCTTCTCACTCTCCTCTATCCTATCCGTCTCAGCCTGTTTCCTTCTCGTAACTCTTCCCTGTCGTCTCGTATACCTGTTCAGACTCTCACATAGCCGATCTAATACCCATTCACTCTCGCTAACATCCGCTAGCATCGGACTATCCTCACCAATCCAATCCCATTCGACCAATCCCTCATCTTCCTCTTCCTCCTCAACTTCCTTCGCATTATGCGTGCTAAATCGGATTAAGCGAGTGAACTCCACCCATTCCTCATAACTATATTTCTTTGGCTTATCAGCTCGTAGATCATTCGCGACGCGTTTGATAGCTGTTGCTAATTTTCGGGCTAGATCATGTTCGGTATGTTCAGGAGGTTCCTCAATTTCCTCAACAACCTGGCCCAGAGAGGATTCTGGATCTGGATCGACGTCGCCAATTATAGGTATTTGTCTATCATCCGGATTTTGCACATCGAAACCATGACGAATACGCTTTTTAGCTTCTCTTTCATCTGTCTTTTTCGACAACCATGCATGTATTCTTGGATGATTCATGAGAAAATCATGCCAAACCCCTGCTTTAGGCATAATTGTCCAATCAGCTAATGTAAATGTACCACGATTAATGGCTGCTATAACAGTAGAACTCATATCTGAAATGAGAATAGTCATTGTAGGTATTGCAATCAAAGACCAAACGACAAAGAAGGGTTTCCCAGCATTGGATTTTGGTGCAAAATCGCCATAACCAATAGTTAAGAGAGAAACGTAGCAAAAATACAAAGCCTGAAAGTATGTTAAGTCTTGTTCACGCTTTTCGGCTCTCCAGAAAACAGTGGCACCTCCGCACCAAAGAATTGAAAAGGCGAAAATAGACATGGATAGTGCGTAGTATTGCTTGAATTTTCGTACATTAGTTTGAATCTGGCGCATGGCATCAAAGCGATCCTTTTCTTCTCTGAGTAGAATTAATTTCTCTCGACGCTTAGCATGCTTTACTCTGGGAGATTTGTTTTCGATGTGTTTTTGAAGCTTAGCGTCGCGACTAAGAGGAATAAATGAATTGTGCGTCATCCCAGCTCCCCCTCGACCACCAGAGGAATGAACTCTCCTTTGATGGAAAGTGATATTCCGGCCTTGGATATCAAAATGACCATACTGGTCAAGCGAGGGACGACGCATTAAACCTGAACCGGAAGCTCCTGAAGAATCTCCAACTGCACTACGGTGACGTATGTCAGATTTGGGAGGTAAGCCGAGACGGTCCCGAATCTCTTTCTCATTCGTAACTGAGCGACCAAAGGTTTCCTGTTGTTGACGTATTGCATGATGCTTGACAATCTTGTCCTGTGACATACCAGAAGCGAATTTGCGCAAACTGTTGATCATAAGACCAAGGAAGATGATACCAATGACAGCATATGGAAAAAGCAGCCCTCGACCAAGACTGTTATTAGGTACGAAATCTCCGAAACCGACCGTCAAGATTGTGACATCGCAGAAATAGAGAGCATCAGCGTATTGAAAGCCACAGACTGTTTGATAAACTCCGGCTCCACCAGCTAACCATATAAAGAACATCATGGTTTGTAAGATCAAAGTTCTTTGATCGTCATCGAGTTCAAAATGTTGTGGGTAATGACCAAGGAAATAGCCAAGCATATTGACCATGAGAACCACTGACCCTACGAGATATAACGAAGCCGCCATGACTGCGGACCAGAATCCCTGAGACCAAGTTTGACCAGGACGAATAGGTGGGACGTACTCGTTCATAGCTAATAAGATACCGATAAGCTATGAAATACATATTAGAATTGAAATTGGTACAAGGACCTTAGACTCACGATGCCAGTAGACAAGTACCAAAAGATTATCGATAGAGGTAATGCGACGATATACCTGACCCTGCGCATAAAGTTCAGGAGCAAAAAAAGATTGCCAGCAAACCCACATCCAAGAGAAATAGCATTTAGGATGATTTCCCTTAAATTCAAATTAGTAACATTCATGAGTTTCTTCAGAGATCTCCCACCATTGTGGATCAGGTATGCCAACACCATTTTCATCAGCACCAAATGGCAATTGTCCATCATCGGGTAGGTCAGCTCTCCATTTTGTAACCAGAGCGGAAATCGACAAAACATTTGCCAAGGGTCCAATTGTGGCAGCGATGAGAGGGAATGCGGTTGATGCAACCCACCAATCTCTATTGGACTATGGGTTAGTGTATAAGATTAAGTGAAGAAGATGAACTCAACGAACTGTGGTAGATCATCCGTCTTTGCTCTGAATTTGAACCTCCCAATTCTAAGTAGACCTGGCCCTGACAGTTCATTATTCAAAGTGAGCCGACTACCGTTATCACCGCCGTTGGGAATAGTGTGGCCATTGTTCATGAAGCTAGCTTCAGAATTGTTGCCCGCCATTGTCATGGTTTATTGAGCGAGATCATCATGTCTCTGGTTCCTGTCTCACTCCTCAAGTAGTTGCGCTTGTTGTTATTGACCGGCGGATTTTGTAATTGAATTTTCTTGAAAGGGCAGACTTCAATTTTCCTCACTTGCTTTCTTTACCCGGATATCTATTCAAGAACTCGAATTGATATCGGCCGATGCCTTTGTTCCTTGGCAGTCCACCGAGCTTAACCTTGGTTAGGTATATACACGCTAACGGTGAATTGAGTTGATGTACTTCTCTCAAGCTTTGAAATTCGAATATCTTCAAAATCAAAAGCGGTCATCTAGAATCAAGATAAGTACCCGTGGACACAAAAGAACGAAGAGAATGTAAAGTAAACTAAGTCTCCGTAGTGGGATGATAGCTTCCTAGAGATTTGATCGCCATCACGCTGCATGCGAAATGCCGGGGTATACATGCGGACTAGATTACGTAAGGTCAACTAATGCATGAGAATGTGATCTAGATCGTTCCCAGAACTTCGATCGTGTTTGTTAAAGCTTTCGGGGGATTCCACCGGATAAGTATCGAAGATAGCAATACTATTGTGAATGCAATTTCAACAGCTTGAATGAGAAAGGAGGAATTGTGCAGAATGCCATTTACATTGGAGTTGGGCAAAGTTACTTGTCAGTCTCTCTGTGCTGCTCATCATTCATCGAGACCTACAAACATTGGCACATAGGTACACGAAACTTGTGCGGGGAAGCTGCTTGCGAAGAAGCAGCTCCCGGTTCAAATAGATGAAGCCATTTAAAGCTGTAGAAACATTTTCAGATTTGTCCAATACACTTCATTCGTTAGAGCTCAAGGATATGTATGACGAGTTTAGTCGTATGCGGACGGAATAAATGATAGGCGTTCGTGGCTTAAAACATCCTGATTGGCGTTTAAATAAAGTTTCTTTTCGCATGCTTTAGATCTATATCTAAATGATGATATAACAAATGAAAAAGGTGCTCTCATCTACTCCTATTATCGCATTAGTGTTGAGACGATGAGAGTAGCTTCAAGTCTCAGTGTCCGCTGACATATAAACAATTCCAAATGTACAAATTTTGCTTTTCTATTTTTCAACCCAACTGATATATACCCAACGCCTTGCCTTCACTTGGCCCATATTTACTAAAGAAAAAATATTGTCTGAAGAGACAAAGATAGTATGTACTCATTCGGCCTCTTCTCGACCACCCACCCTTTCTACAAGCCTGATAGAGCATTAGCAACGTTGAAAAGATATACCTCTCAGACGAAGGAACGTACCGGAATATGCTAACTGCAAAAG